CTGTGCATTCAACAACAAGGCGACAGGAGCCGAGCAGGAGGCACAGAGGGTGGAGCTGATGACCCTGGTCCAGCAGGTGGTGAGGGAGAACGGGGGAAGATACTTCACCAATAAGATGTACCGGAGGGCTGAGGAGGAAATTCAGCATCAAGTCCTAGCACTCCAAGAACGGTACAGAGCAGAGTTGGAGAGAGAGAAAGCACAGATAAGAGAGGAGTACGAAAGGCAAATCAGACACCTGAAAAATGAGTTGGAGCGGGAAAGGAGAAAGGGCCAAATGGAAAGGACACTAGAGGAAACGGAGTCTGTCTATGCCTTGAGGCAGCAGAGTGCCAGAGTGGAGGTCGAGAACCAGAGTTGGATAATTGAATTAATCTTGAAAGCCTTGGATGTTGTTTCCTTGTTCTTCCATCTGTTTACGGATGACTAGACTTAAAGAAAAATGCACTTGGGGCTGGGGTTGTGACTTAGCGATAGAGTGCTCAACTAGCACGTGCGAGGCACTGGGTTCAATCCTCAGCACCACATAAAAATAAATAAGTAAAATAAAGGTATGTGTCCAACTAAAACTAAAAAATAAAAATAAAAAAAATGTTAAAAAAGAAAAATGCATTTATATTTTCTGCATATTACCTGATGACCCTCCCCATGTGACTTGTTCGCCGCAGTCTGAGTGCTCTAGTTTCTGTCTCTCAGGCTCTCAGGACCAGGGGGTGCAGGAAAGTTCACCCTTGGCAATAGGCAGATGTTTGACCTAGCAGGAGAGGGGCAAATCCTCAAGTTGTGAAGCTCAAAAGCAAAAAGTAATGATGCTTGCTGCCAGGGAATTCTTCCTTAGAGACACGGAGAGAGGGATGCAGGAGACCAAAGAACATGACCCCAAGCTGTATCCACTAGTTTCTAGTAAAACTTTCTCCCCCAAATTCTTTTAGATTGGTAGATATTCTCCGTCCATAGCTCCTACACACTTATCTTTGCCTTTAGGGTGCTAACAATAAGCTACCTGCATAGTTTGTTAGAAAGCATAATTCTTTGTTTGCATTAGGCAGTCTTATAGCTGGAGACGATTCTTTCTCAGTGAACATCAAATTATATAATTATGATTCATAAAAGGACTAGAATTGTTCCTTATCATCTGCTCTTTGAGGAACAAGGAGTTGTTTAGAAAACAGTTCTCTCAGAACTCAACTATGTAGTGATCCCCAAAAGCCAGAAAGAGTGAAAGACAGCATTTCAACAAATAAGTGCACAGTGTTTGATATGCTCAGGTGTGTCTGTAGACTCTCTGTCCATCCCCTCTTAACCAACTTGATGAGTAACCAGATCTGTCCTTTTCTTCAGAAACAACTAACTGTTGCCACCCCACGCCTTCACATCACACCTTGAGCACTTAACGCTTGGCAGGTTATCTGTACTTCTAATGAAACTTCTGAGTTCTCACCTGTTTATACAGAATTGGACTCTGTTTTGTCTTGGTAGATACCACTGCTACTTCTAATAAAACAGAGATGATTTTCAGGGTTTTTTTTGATAATAGTTCAAGATGATTTTGGAGTTAGACTTGGCCTACCCTCATGGCACCTCTGTTTCTCCTTTTCTTTTTTATTCCTATCTGAGAGTTTATTAGCAGGACCCTAGCAGCCAGTCGCAGAAGGGGGGCGGGAGAGAGAGAGAGAGAGAGAAAGAGAGAGAGAGAGGGAGGAAGTGAGAGATAGAAGACGGGGAGAGTAAGAGGGAGAGGGAGAGTAAGAGGGAGTGGGAGTAAGAGGGAGAGGGAGTAAGAGGGAGAGAGAGAGTAAGAGAGAATAAGAGTAAGAGACTAAAAGAGAAGAGAGCAAGAGAGCGAACATGAACAGGGTCTTGATATTTATGGGCATAACACAGGATGAGGAGGAGCAAGGTGAGTGGGCTGCTACTTCTTCATGGGCCGAGAGTTTGCGCCACTTCAGGGGATTGAGAGGTGCACCATTCAAAGTTTGTGCCATTCACAGGGATTGGAGGTGATGGTTTGCACTTTATTCAGTGCATCATGGACCTCAACTCCCGGACGAGAAGCGCTCTGGGCGCAATCTTTACCAACATTCCTCCCTTTTTTGTTTTGGTCTGGGGGCATCGTACTCTATCTGGCTACTTCCTGGTGAGTAGGGGCATGGATTAGAGGGAGGGAGGGAGGTGAGTTGGTTGGAGAAGCAGAGCCAGGAGGCCCCATATCCATGCACTGAAGGCATGGATTTCCTCTGGGAGAAGTCCATGAATGAGCCCTGCAGCTATGAGAAGAAACAGCACTAATGTCGTCCAGTCTGTAGGGCTGGGAGAAAAGCCTGTGCCCAGGAGAAGGCAGATGAGAACATAAAGCTGAAAACCAAGGGCTTATTACTTTGGCATGGTGGGTAGAGATGGCCCTTTGGTGGCGTTGTCATTCAGTATCTTCATCTTTCAGCACGCGGTGGAGGTTTCTCGGGATGACTGGATGTGCATGTCGCCGGCTCGATGGCAAGTAGCTGGTAATCCCTGAGGAGGAGCTGACTGAAAGTTCCGTTAGAGATTTTGTTAATTTGTCCTTGAAGGAATTTTAAAATGCAAGGAAGGAAGGCACAGAATAAAGAGACTCCAACTAGAGGTCCCAGAATCGGGAGAATCCAGCAGCTGATGGGGTTTATGAAGAGGTCCCAATAGGACTGTTGTGCCAGTTGCTGATTTCTAAAAAGGGTGTGGGTGTACTGTGTTGCCCTGTGTTCCTAGATCCTATCAGGAGGCCCATTCTTATGTATGTTCTTCTGCAGAATGGGATGAAGGGTGGTGCATGTCTGAAAAACGGAGCTTTCCAGGATTATCTGGGGATATCTCATAGGTAGCTCTGGGCAATTGTGGGGGTCCTGCAAGGTTGGGAGCTGTGGTGGGATTGTCCTTTGGAGGGCTCGCCGCTGTTTTTAACGTAGAAATATGAATCCAGGGGGTTAGGTTCTTTCCTTGCTGTTGGAGTTTTGCGCATTGGGTGTACACAGCACTACCTGTGATGGCCCTTCCCATTTTGGGGTTGGGGGGATCTTTCCCCTGGGGAAGAAAAGTAGACCTGTTCTCCTGGTTTGAGCGGAAAGGAGGCAGCTGAGTTCTCTGGATCCAGAATCAACAAATCTTGTTGCTTCCATAGCTCAGAGAGAATAAGGAAGAGGTCGGGAAGAGCATATGGGTTGGGGAGGGGCCAAGGCTCTGGTGAGATTCCGGGGGGGGGGGGAGAAGGGGACCACCATACAGTATCTCAAAGGGGGAGGCAAGGGATGGCTTTTTTGGTAAAGCCCACAGTCGTAGTAGGGCCAGAGGCAGGAGTTTAGCCCAATCTAAATGAGTCTCTAAAGATAGTTTCGTTATGATGTCTTTCACTGTGTGGTTGGCTCGCTCAACCTTACCTGAGGCTTGGGGGCCATAGGGACAATGAAAGTGCCATGGGGTGGACAATGTCTTTGCCACATTCTGGGTTACTTGAGAGACAAACTCAGGCCCGTTGTCAGATTGGATTGAAGCGGACATCCCAAACGGAGGGATGACTTCCGTTAGGAGGACGTTAGCAACTGTGGTAGCCCGCTTATTTGAAGTGGGGAAGGCCTCTCCCAACCCGAGAATGTGTCTATTAAAACTAGTATGTATTTGAAGATTTTTACTCTGGGCATTTGGTAAAGTCGATTTGCCAATCTGCCCCGGGAATATGGCCCCTAGCCTGATGAGAAGGGAAGGTTCCGGGTTTTAAAGATGTATAGGAATTCACTCTTTTGCATATCTGGCATGAGGCTGTGATTTGCTGTATCACTTCTTTATCCTGGGGAGTCAGAGTAAAGAAAGAGTGGAGAAAGGCTTTGAGAGTCTGCGGACTGGGTGGAAAATGGAGTGGAGGTAAGTAAAGAGGGCAGGTTTGTTGGGTCTCTGTTATTGGGTAATGGTGGAGAGCACGTGGCAATGAGAGATCCAGTGGGTTCTGAAAGGGCAGCTGACCTGGCTGCCTGATCTGCTTTTGAATTCCCCTGTGTGACGGGGAGGAGTCATTCTGGTGTGATCTGCAATGGACAACTCCAAGGTTTTTAGGAAGCTGGGAGGGCGGCTTGTAGTAGCTGGGTGATGTATTGGAGTTGGTTATAGAGGTGCCCTTTGAGTTCATGAACATAGAGAGTAAAAGGCCTATATCATCTGGCAGGTGTGGAGCCGGTGCTTGTAAGAGGGCCTTCTGGAAGGTTCTGCAATGTGGTGCAGCTGAAAGTAACAAGGGCTCATGCTTGTTCCCCTTTGCTAGATCCTATAATGGTCTGGCAAGTAATGAGTCATTTGGTACCCATGCCCTAAAATAGCCTGCCAGACCCAGGAACGAAGGAATCTCCTCCTTAGTTTTTGGTACTGGAAGGCTTTCAATAAGGCCTTTTCTATCAGTTGTGATAGCTTTCTTCCCTGGGGAAATGTGGAACCCTAAGTAAACAACTTCAGAGAGAGAGAGCTGCACCTTTTGCGGAGAAACCCTATATCCTCGGTGAGCAGGAAAATTCAGAAGGGTGGCTGTGTCTGACTTTGAGGTTTCTAATGAGGGACTACAGAGGAGGAGGTCATCAACGTATTGTAGGAGGGTTGAGGAGGGGCATAGAGGGAAAAAATCCTCAAGATCTCCATGGAGGACTTGTTCAAAAATATGTGGGCTGTCTCAAAACCCCTGGGGCAGGACAGTCCAGGTTAACTGTCAGGAATGTCTAGTTTCTGGATCCATCCAGGTGAAGGCAAACATGTCTTGGGAAGAGACAGATAGTGGAATTGAAAGGAAGGCACCTTTAAGATCAATAACTGGAAAACAGGTGGAGTTTGCAGGAATGGAGGAAAGGATAGTATAAGGGTTTGGAACCAGGGGATGTATGGGCCTGGTTGAAGAATTTATTAACCTTAAGTCCTGCACCAAACAGTATGTTCCATTAGGCTTTTTTACTGCTAAAATTGGGGTATTGAATGGAGGGTGTGTGGGACGGAGGAACCCCTTTCTTAGTAAGCTCTCAATGATTGGCTTTAGGCCCTTATGACTGGCAGTTGGCAGTGGATATGGAGCCTGGTTTGGGAAGTGCTTAGGGTCTTTAAGATGCACTTCCACGGGAGAGTAATTTGCAGAGGACGGGGTTTCAGTGTCCCATACAATTGGATCTACCATTTTACAGGGGAGGGGAAAGTGTGTGTTCTAGTGGCCGCTGGGGTCTCCACACCAGACACAAAGGGGTAATGTCTCTTCTTCGTTGGGGAGTAAAGCCATGATGAAGATATAAGTAGGGGAGGACAATAAGAGTAAGGTTATGGAGGCCTTCAAGATGGATAATATATCCCTTCCAAGCAATTACGCTACCCCGTCCTTGGGAGATAAGAGTGAAGGAGATGGAGGAGTTAGAAAGAGAGAATTAACCCTACGTCCCAGGTGGTCAATTCCCAGGGGTGTCCTAGCAGAGCGCCCAGGGTCCATCGCAAACCTGATGGGTCTGGGTGGGGTGCATTTCTCCCCTAAAACACCCTGAGGGATTGCTGGACACTCAGAGGCCAATTCCCTCGTTCTGGTGAGTTAGGTTCAGGCGCTCATGGGATGGGGAACTCACCAATCTGCAGGCCGTTGGTGGATGTCAGGCAGGCGATCAGAGGAGTAGACTACGACAGGAATGGTTGTGCTCAGAGTTTGGGAACGGGGTTCCCCCTGAGCGACCGGGATCCCCGTCCAGGTTTCGGCACCAATGTAAAGGACGATGGAAAAGCTCCGTAAACTCGACAAGCCAAAACAACCATTTACCTGTCCGAGATTTTAGTAGCAGGGCCCTAGTGGCCAGACGCAGAAGAGAAGGGGAGAGAGAGAGAAAGAAGAGGGGGAGAGGAAGAGGGAGAGGAAGAGTAAGAGAGAGTAAGAGTAAGAGAGAGTAAGAGTAAGAGAGAGTTAAGAGAGGAGGGAGTAAAGGCTCTGTTTCTCCTTTTCCCTGAAAGATTAGTGCTATATCCTCAACCTTTCTACTGACCAAAGACCACAGCCTGGGTTCAATCTCCAGTACGATGCGCATACACAAAAATCTCTTGCTATGGTATGCTTGACTACCTTTCCATTTATTAAAACTACAGATAGTGCTGGGCACAGTGGCACATTCCTGTAATCCCAGCAACTAGTGTGGGCGGGGTGGCTGAGACAGGAGAATTATGAGTTCAAAGCCAGCCTCAGCAATTTAGCAAGGCCTAAGCAACTCAGTGAGACCCTGTCTCTAAATAAAATACAAAACAGGACTGTGGATGTGGCTCAGTGGTCAAGTGCTCCTAAGTTCAATCCCCAGTATCCCCCCCCCCAAAAAAAAACCCAAAACCAAACAAAAAAAATCACTATAGATAGGGTTTTTTTTTTCTGTACACCAGAATATTGCAATTGTTATTCATGGTGAAATTTGAAACAGATCTTCCAGCCTGTATGTCTTTCTCTATTCCATCATAAATACTAGCTACTTTCTGTATTTGTAATATGTTTTCATTTTTAAATTTAAAATGTTTTCATACTTATTTTTAAACTAATATCAATTGTATTATATTATAAATAAAATTATAATTAGTATTTAAATTTAATTTTCAGTTTCCATGTAGCTAGGTATAATGTGACTTGTGCTATCTAGATAAAATATTTAGATATTTACAAACATTCAAAGACATTATTTAGTGCTTTAAAGATCATTCAGAATGAAGCAATCCATTGACACTGAGTTGTTCAGTGAATTGCTTCCATTGTTTGCAGGTGAGACCAGACTCCATGCATGGGGTAACATACCTGCAGCGCTGAATAGCTCTCTCTTTAGTGACACAACAGCTAGAGTGAGATATGTTTCCACCAACCCAGTGAAGTTGCATTTTAAATTTTAAATTAATTATAACTACAAAACTTCTGCATAGTACTGTAGCTTCTCAGGTGCACCAGCTCTGTAGGTGCTCAGTAACCAGGTGAATCATGGCCACTGTGTTGAATGCTGTAGTTTCCAGAAAATAAACATTTAGAACTTAAACATACACACTTCTAAATAATCCATGAGTGAAAAAAAGATATCATAGGGAGTATAGAACATACTTTAAATGGAATGATAATGAAAACAGAATATACAAAAATTTGTGCGTTATGCGTGGAGGGGAAATTTTACAGCTTTATATCTCTGTGTTATAAAAGAAGAATTTTTAGTAGTGTTGAAGATGTTGTTGGTAACGTATTGTGGACTCTGGATACTGCTTTCTTCTCAGATTGTGCTAGCAGGCACCTAAACTCCTGGATCCCCTTGACCCGGAGGACCGACCTGGTTTCCCTGTCTTTAGCAAGGGCCTGCTTTCATTGTGCTCTTCCCTGGTGCAGACCTCTTCCTTGCGAGGTAGGACCCCTTGGTGTCCAGTGGAGATCTCCACGTTTCCTGAGACCTCTCACTTGGGGAACTGGAACTTCAAATTCCCGTTGCCGGGGGCCGCTGCTGAGGCCTGGGATCAGCTCTTTCTCTCTCCACCTGGTTTTCCTCTGGATCCTCTGAGGTTGCCCTGGGCTTGTCCGGGGCCAGCCAAGGATTTGAACCTACTTCAAATACAGAATCTTCAGTCACCTTTCCCCATCTCCACCTCTGGACATCTTGGAGAAGGGGGGCTTCTGCACCATTTCCTGCCTCCTCTGGTCACCCCCAAACTCCATCTTCTTGCTCTCCAGGGCCCTGAACTTTGGTCTGAGTGCTGCCTGTGCTCAACAGGACGGGGCAGTGCCCTCAGGAGAAGCTGCCTCAGTGCTGACCTGCGTGGTCCCCTCACCTGAGGTGCCCAGTCCCCAAGTGTGTCTGCATGCCTTGGGTCACTCCCCAAGGACTCCAGACTTATTTTTTGAGTGGTTCTTTTGCGTTTTCTATATAGTTTACAGACATTATCACAGGAGGCCTGGAGACTTCCCTTGAGGCTGAGCTGACTCAACCCTCAAGCAGAATCCCTGCTTTTCCTCTTTCACTCCCCTTAGAGAAATAACATCTCTTAAAGGTTGCTATGACCACACCCTTGGCCTAGTCAACCCTTTCTCATCCACCTCCCCTTTCTTCTGAGACAGACTGTGGATTTCCTAGAACATGGAAAGGGAAGGAAAAGCCGAGAAGCTTTTCTAGAACTTGCATTTTCTAGAACTTGGAAAGGGAAGGAAAAGCCGAGAAGCATGGTAACCGGTGCGGATAAGCGGTCCTGACCCTATGTGCCTCACGGGACCCCACGGGGTCGACTGTTAGGGCTGCGTCTGGGGGAAAGGCTGTTTCTCCTTGTGACAGGCACTCAGCTGAACCTCCAGCCAAAGAGGTTCCCGGCTTCGCAGCCTTTGGCCCGGTTCAGAGCTCAGCATGCCCATGGCACTGTCTCGTGCCCAGGTAGAGTTCCCTTTCCCGGGAAGCCCTTGTCATGTGTGCAGAGCCCAATCCCGTAATGGCCTCCCAACTCCATTTAAAATGAGCTCTGGAAGCATTTTTATCGTAGTATTTTTTGGGGGGATTTCACAAGGAAACAAAGACTCAAAGCCATCTTGTTTCCGAGTCAACGGGCAGCTTCACAGTGAAAGCCAACACCATGTGCATTTGCATTAGGACAGGAGGTGCATTCCTTTAATTTAGATGATGAGCTGAAAACTCCAAACCTGGGAGCCAGGATAAGCTGTCCCTCTTTAAAAGTGGATTCCTAGTTATTTTGTTATAGTAACAGAAGCTGCCTCACACGGTAACTAAATGGCAAGTCACTCAAAATATGACATTCATTAAAAATTTTTAATTACCTCAAATATATATTTTTTTATGTTTGTTTACTAAATAGTAAGGAACACACTGCCCACATTTCAGAAAGAAAGATAAATGTTACTCATTGCTATCACTTCTTCGGCCTCAAAGAAGCCTGGGGAAAGTCGGACAATCTCAGCGACCCGGCAGCACTTAGCACTGACTCTAAATGTCTGAATCTTTGTTTTCCCAAACTGCAGGTCTCAGATGCTGAATGAAGCTCTTTTGTGTTTACAGTTTCTGAGCTTGAGGTATTTGCCAATTCTCTCAGACTTAATAGGTAAATGGAAGATGATTCCAACTAGAATTCCAGTAGGACTTTTCTTCTTTTTCTTTTTAAATTAGACAAGTGATTTTAACTTCCATGTAGAAAAATAAATGCCTGAGAATTAAAAAAAAATACATAAAATCTTAGTCTGGTGCACACCCATAATCCCAGCAACTCAGGAAGATGAGACAGGAAGATCACAATTCAAAGCCACCTCAGCAATGGTGAGGCACTAAGCAACTCAGTGAGACCCTGTCTCTAAATAAAATACAAAAACAGGGCTGGGATGTGCCCCTGAGATCAATCCCTGGTAGCCTGGTACCACTCCCCCCCACACACAAAAAAACAACAATGTAGTCTGAGGAGGAAATTGGCTCACCATCATAAATCAAGGCTACTTTCATCAAATCGATATTTTATTCAAATAGGAAAAGTAGAAGATGTGGACAGAAATAAAAACTTTGACAGAAGTCTTAGGAACTGTGAGAACTGAATCGGTGATACGTGCTGCACAGTAGGTCCACCAGGAAGTGGAAGGCCGAGTCAACAAATGCTCTGGCACAAAGACTCTCTCAACCGTCCACCAAAATGACTCTGCTCTGCTCTGAAAGAGCCAAGGACACATTTACACTTTCTTGGAGGCTGCCCCTCTGGGAGAGCCTGGGGAGGCAGGCCTGAGTGGTAGGTGCAGGTCCTGGGGTCTGTGAGGACCTCCACCAGCAGAGGAGCCACCAGGCAGATGAGGCTGTGTCTGTGACCTCCCACGGTCCTCAGCAGGGTCACCAGCACCTCCACTTCCCGCCCTTCCAGAGGAAGGCACCAGAGCCCTCTGCCCCGTGGCTCCAAGAATGGAGAAGGGGACTGTGTTGGGAGATCTTTTCCTTGTGGCTTCCCTTCAGTTGGTGAGACCCCCCAGGAATACCTTGAGCCTCAAAGAATTCGAGGTGCCTCTGAGACACCTCTGCTTGCTTAGGTGGTTGAAGGGCTTCCTATCAGAAGCCAGAGGCAGGCTAACATCCCCCTCCCTCCTCAGCATGCCTGCTGTCACTCCTGACAGCCTGTGTGCAGGACAGCCTCGAGGGGGCTCACCCAGGAAGACACCCGTGCATTGGGAGTTCTCCTATAACCAGACGGTGCTCCCAAGATGTCTAGGGCACCCTTCACCTTCCTTTGCAGGTTCCCTTTCTCCCCTGCTTCCCTCCAGTCAACCCACCACAGACACCTTGCTGGGGAGCCCCTTCACCTGCAGACCCTCCCCACTGTCAAGGGAGAAGCTGGGCACAGGGCTGAAAACTGCCTTCAGCCTCCAGTGCACAGGGCAGAGCTAACGAAGGGCATGGGACCCGAGGGAAGAGGGAAGAAACCTGTAACCCCCAGTCTAAGCCCACCTTGGGGGAGTCGGGCTGGCCCACTCTGCCCACCTGGCCCCTCGCAGGCCACCACACCCTGCAGCCAGGGCTAGGGCCCACACACTTGCCCAAGGCCAGCTTCTCAATACTCTGACCCTGACTTCACTTGTTAGAGCCCAAGAGAAACTTTCTCCCTCTCTGCTCCTGCTCACTCTCCTCCCTGGACCCAGGCCCATCCCTCCCCATGTGTCAGAGCCACTGTCCCTTCCTCCCTCCACACAGCCCGTGACTTAACAGCCATTCTACCCACCCCTGCTGGACACGAGAGCAAAACCCAGGAGATGGAAGTCACCAGGCCAACAGCTACACTGGGTGGTGGCCATGCTAACCGACTCCAATGGCCAGGAAGCCTGCGAAGGCAAAGAGCAACAAGCCTGCCCTCAAGATGCTTTGGCTGTATTAGGGTGCAGACAAGGGCCCCCAGGAAACGCTAATGGGATGGAGGGTTCCCTATGAGGACAGTGGGCTTTGGGATGGAGAGGAGGGAGGGCTCTGAGCAGCTCCCATGGAACAAGGCTCCACCACCTAGAACCACCAGATGCTGTGACCTGGACCAGGCGGTGCTCCATGAATAGAGCAAGTAGCCCTGCTGGACACAGGGCACGGAGGGCTGAGCAAATCTCCTGCTCCCGTCCAGCATTGCTCAAATGGGGCTGCCCTCAGGAGGCACCTGTCAGTCTTCTCAGTGTTTTCTGCACTTGGGAAGCACTTCCAGCCGGGACCCCTCGCTGATCGCCTCCTGAGAACCCTGCTCTGGGGTCATTAGTCCTTCTGTGCCTCTCTGAGCAGCGCTCTGCTGGTGGTATTGGGAAGCCTGCTGCTGTAAGGACAGCCGTCGTTCTCCCACTGGATGCCTTCCACTTGCTGCATGAGCTCCTGCAGCTGGGCCTCCTGCTCCGGGCCCTCTGCCCTGTTGTTGAAGCCGCAGTGGCGCTGCTCACACAGCACACCCAGCGTGGCCAGGCTCCGGTTGTGGGTCTCTCGCACATATTCCTTCAAGGAGCCCCCCGCCAGGTCTTCCTTCCGGGTGAACACCAGGACGGTGTAAGCCAGGACCCCCGCTCCGAAGACCTCCTGGAGGCGCCTGACGACCTGCTGGTCCTCCCTGGTGAACCGGCCCAGCTGTGTCACGAGGAGCACCGCGTGAGGCCTCAGGGAGGAGAAGGTGCAGGCCTGACAGACCTCTGCAGCCGCCGCTCCTGGCTGGACCCCAGGAGACAAAATGTCGGGGGTGTCGATCACCTCCAGTTCCATCCCTGCCCACTCTCGGCAGCCTCTCTGGAAGGTTGTGGTCACTGGTCTGCTGCTGAGTTTAGACTCAAATTCTTTCCTGCCAAGGATGCTGTTTCCTGTCGCACTCTTCCCACTTCCCGATTTCCCCACCAGGATGAGCCCCAGTTTCCTTGGAGTAGGCTCTGTATCCCTCAGACCTAGAAGCATTAAACAAATTCATAAAAACACAGGAAACAGGGTTAGGGCCCATCCTCTCCACTTATCAGGAGCTACGCCCTTAGGTGCACTGCATCCCACAGGGCAGGAGGTCCCAGGTTGGGGTGGGAGAGACACAGGCTGAGATCTCTCTCTGCGACCTGTCCTGGACTCTCATGCTTAACCCGTGTCCTTGAAGGTGGGGCTGAACATTCTCCTCCAGTAGAATGTCAGGTCCATCGGTCAAGAGGGGAAACTTGGAGATGTGCACCTAACCCTGGGAATTGGGTACCTAGATGTTTAGTACAACTGGGGCTGGGGCCAGGTGGGAAGTCTCCTCTCCTGACTGCAAGGCACCAAGGCCAAATGCACATAAAGAAGTGGCGAATATTAGTTGGTTTCCAAGTCTGGACCCTATGAAAGACACTGATGGATGTCAGATCACAGAGCTATGTGATAGACTTTTTCTTGATGGCCCAGGCTCTTCAAGTTCATAAAGTAAAAAAATCATCTTGGTACAGCACATTAAAACACCATGAGGGATCTCCTCTGGAGTGTTCAGCATTCCTAAGTTCCGCCCTCCCAGGTGAGATGACAAGCTGAGCTTGGAGAGGGTTGAACCCTGTTAAGGGCAGCAGCCACGGAGTCCATTCTGCTTGTTCCCAGGGTACTGTCACCTGATGGCCCTGGCAGCAGTCACTCACAGCAGATAAGCACTGACATGAGGACCGAGGGCTTCCTGGCCTTAGCCAAGGTCAGGGAGGTGAGCATGTCCCACCTGCACACCACACGCCCCCCTCTGCTGGGAAAGGGGCTTTACCTCCTGACAGCTCTGCTGTAGGTTCCTGGCACAGCTCTTTTGGAGAAATCTCTCGGGTAATCTGGACATAGTCTTCCTCCACCTAGAGAAAGCAATGATCCATTGGACTGATTTTTCAATTGCATTTTAAGGGACCCTGCCTTTTGCCTTCCTTTGCCAGACAGAAGATGTCTGCGTTGGTTTAGGGTGGGGGAGGACTGCATGAGAAGAGGCCTAGCCCCTGCCCTGCCCGACTCATGGTGGTCTCCATCATGAGTTGAAGAGATTTCCCAGAGAAAAGGGCTGCTGGCCTGGAGCCTGAAGTGGGTGGGTGGACAGGGTCCAGGAGCCTTTGTGCAGGGAGAGAGGAGGGGGGAAGAGACACAGAGGCAGGCGTGACCCTAACCCTGTGTGTCCTGGAGTGGCAGGTAGGTTCCTATGGCTGAGTGGCCTTCAGGACTTGGGCATGAAGTTGTGGGGAGGGGCTGACTCTCTGGAACAGACAGAGCCATCTGGGCATGATCTTTGGAGAAGGTGCAATAGTGAAGGTTGGGAGGGCTGAGAGCTGGCCCAGAAGACAGCTATGGGACCTTCACAATGCCCTGCTGTGAGCCAGACACCTCAGTGTCAGTGATGTGGCCATCAGTTCACAGCCTGTGCCTCAAGGTCCCTTCACGGTGAAGGTTGGGCCTGACATGGAAGATACCATGAAGGCCCCTCCCCACATGGTCCCAACATATTTATAACCTTTTAACTCCTAGACCTCTTTGAAAATGAGAGTCACATTATCTCAACCAGGACTTCCATCAGCCACACGGGGAGAGCGCTGTGCACTTCTGCAGGGCTGAATGGGGTCCTGTGTGACGAGAGCCCAGGTGCTGTGTCTGGGTCATTTTCTCTGGATTGAGGAGATTACAAGGCTCATGGCTGCTTTTCCAGAACATGGGAGGATATGCACAGCCCCGTTAATCTAGGGGAACCGTGGAAGCCCAGATACAGAGACCTTGACCGACACAGCTTTGTATCCACACAGCACTGCGGGCTGTCTCTCCTGCTCTGTTCACCTGGCAGATTACTTAGTCCTCAGGCAAATCCCAAGGCCTGGCCAGGGGAGGACCACTGTGGACAGGGCTTTGTAGCAGTGACTTCATTTAGTGAAGGCCAGCTCTCACAGGCTAGGCTGGGATGG